GCACTGAAGGGTCCCAGGTTCGATTCCGGCCAAGGGCATGTACCTTGGTTGTGGGCACATCCCCAGTAGGGGGTGTGCAGGAGGCAGCTGATTGATGTTTCTCTCTCATCGATGTTTCTAACTCTCTATCTCCCTTTCTCTCTGTAAAAAATCAATAAAATCTATTTAAAAAAATAATAAAATAAATGAGTGCTGGAGTTGCTAAATAAATGTTTCTGGATGAAATGAATGGATAGATGTATTGATTTGAAAGAAATGTCATAGAAAAATATCAATAGGAATTGATATGCAAAGGAAAATGATTCTTTGGGGGATCTCTAAGACTGAGTGTTGGGGAGGTATAACCACAGCTAAAGAGCAGAAAATGGAAAAGGAAGTTGTTAACAGAGAGGATTGGTCAAGGAAAGAAGAGAAGGTCTGGTCTGGGTTAGGCTTTGATTTAATTTCATCTGATTTACTGCTCCCTATAAAAATGCATTTGCTCTTGACAGTCTCCAAAGATTTGTTATGAGTTTAGATTAAGGTTAGATTGAAGTTAGATTGATTTCTTTCCACAATGATAGTAAATTAAACACTTGTTCTGCTATAACGATGCCATCAACTGGGTTGTTTAAACAACAAACACTTATTTCTCACAGTTCTGGGAGCTGGAAATCTGAGACCAGAATGCCATCATGGTCGCCTGGTGAGGGCTGGCTCTCTTCTCAGTTGAAGATGGGTGACTTCTCCTTGTACCCTCACATGGCAAAGAGAATGAGAACTCTCTGGGGTCTCTTTTATAAGAGCACTAATTCCGTTTTTGAGGGCTCCACCCTGGTGATCTAGTTACCTCCCAAAGGCCCCACCCTCCTAATACCATTGAACTGGGGGGTTAGGATTTCAACATCTGAATTTGGAGGGGACACAAACATTCAGTCCATATCAGATGCCTATAATGGTGAAGGCAGTAGAGTGGACATACTAGGCAGTAAGGGAGAATGCAACATAGGAAAGTGGGAGAGGGCAATTGTTATCTTTAGATAGTTTCTGGTGGAGGAAGAAAAAGATGGGGACAGAAGAAGGAGGAGGAGGGGAAAGGCAAACAACTATTTCATAATTTCATAAAGGGCCTAACCTCGAAGAAAGTCCCTCTGACTTACTGCCAGCCTGATCATTGTTCTTTGAAAGCATCACTACAACGACTTCTGCATTTACTTCATTGTCCACAAAGTGCAATCAATAAATATTTGTTGATGGATTATTCTGAGTGTTTCAAATCAATCCACACTTCTAGTTTTATTAAGGATTTTAGAATTGACATTGATCAAGCTGAAATAAGAACTGTCTTTAAATTTGCAAGACATTTTATGTCTCTCCCCAAGGAAAAGCAAATATGTAAACCTTTGTCCATGCCCATTATGCACCAAACACTGTACTGGAGGTTTTCTTTATAATATTGCATTCCTAGTAACTCATTATTATTTTAAAAATTACTTAGCGCCCATTATATGTCAGATTCTATGCTAGGCGATGATGATAAAAGGCAAAGAGGGAGAAACTCTGACCTTTTAGCAGTTTTAGTATAATGGGGAGAAGATAGGGCCAAATCAAGAACTGTCAAGAACGGTAAGTACAGTGAAAGAGGTAAGCACTTGGCAATACTGGAGAACAGAAATAAGTTTTAATTTAAAAAGAGTAGGTAATACAGACAGAATGGAACATCTGTTTAAATGAAAATTTTCATTTGTCTGAATCAAAAAAATTTTTTTGAATGACAATTTAACTGGATGCCAAGAGGAGCCTAAGGAGACATGATTAAATGTTGTAGGCCCTGGAGGTCATCCTGGATCAGGAAAAGGATATTAGAGAAAAACTGAATAAATGTAAATAGAATATGGATTTTAGTTAATCATGTGTATTACTATTAGTTCCTCAATTGTGACAAATGTACCATACTAATGTAAGATATTAATAGGTAAAATTGGGTGTAGAATATACTAGAACTATTTGAAGTATCGGTGTAATAATTCTGTAAATTCAAAACTGTTTTAAAGTAAACATTTCATTAAATACTTAAACTGCCATCTTGTATTTTTGTTAGCTCTGGCAACACTAACACTTTTACTTCCAAATAATCATTAAGCATAAAATATAAAAAATAATTTTAAATTGATAATTAAGGGATTTGAGTTGTATATAATTTCTCCTAGGTATTTGATCCAAACACTTTATTTTTAAATATAATATTTATTGAAGTAAAGCACACATAGAGAAAAGAGTGCACTAAACATAAGTGTGCAACTAGATGAACTTTCACAAAGTAAGCACACTAGTGTGTGGGTGTAACTACAACCCAGATCAGGAAAACCATGTGACCAGCAGTCCAGAAGCAACCTCATGGTCCTTCCCTATTAAAGGTAATCATTATCATGACTTCTAGCACCACAAATTAATTTGCCTGTGTACCTAACATAAATGAACTCAAACAATATGGACTGCCAAACACTTTATTTTCTATACACAGTTCATTTGTTTTCTTTCTTTCTTTTTTTTTGGCAAGGCTCAAGCAACCAAATAATTATTAGGGATTATTCTTCAATGTAGGAAAAAAACTGGCTTAAGTCCCCCCCTCCAATGAACCATCAATAAAATTAATCTTAATTTGGTCCGTGCACATCTCAAGAGATTTAAAAAATACAGTTATGAGAAAATCAGCAAGGTTAAAGCCCTGAAAGTAATCACTTTTCTGGGGTGACTGCTAATTTATGCTGCCTGAATAGAAAACGGTGCTGATTATTTTATTCTTGCTGCTCCTTTGGGAAAGAACCACCTCTGTGTTGTGGAAGAAGACCTTAGAATTTGGAATAAAAATAGACATGTATACTATAACAGTTTTATTTGAAGAGGAGCTTAGAAAAAATCTTTTATAAAAAAAAAGAAGATGGGGATTTTAAGAATGAGAGTGAATTTTAGAATATTTGCTGCTTTCCAGATACAAGACAACCAAATATATTTTGCTCCACTTTAATATCTGCTTTGTTGCGTAACACAACTAGGAAGTTAGTCCTTATTGCTTAATACTTAATTGTTGGTAATATGCTAGGCCTTATAAAGAAAACCTGTTTTTAATGGTTGTAGAAATGATATATCAGAGGTTTATACAGGTTCCCTCAATCTCTTAACTATTCATTTCTGCTCTAAGTGACAAGGCCCTGACACTAACATGTATGTGTGCCACGAAAGATTTCCTTACGTTATACATTCCATTTTGTAAACGTGCAGGGCGTCTACTACGTGCACAAAATTATGCTGGACAACTTTGGTATGTCCAGAGATAAGAAACGGTTCCTATGCTGTGTTTCTACTTGTGCTAGTCAAAGGTTTTGTACTTTTACAGCGGAAGGGAATCAGGTTAAGCTGGATGTTTATTTAATCTGAGTTCTTAGTCTTCTGGAAAACAAAAACAAAAACAAGACCCCCCCAAAAAAAACAACACACAAACCCATAAGGCAAAAGCTTGTTTAAAAACAGATACTACTTTTAAGGATTTGGGTTCGTTCTAAAGCAGGACCATGGATTCTTAAGATTGATTTACATAGAAGGGCTAGGTCTGCCACCGGAGCTGAAAAGGGGTTCGTGTTTTTCAAACTGGACTGTTCCACGGGGAGCTCCGTGCGGCCCGGGATGGCGCCTCTGCAAGGCCGGGCGGCTCCCTTTCGCCTGACTCCCCGGACCAGAGGCTGCGGAAGCCCAGCTCTGGCCGAGGGAGAGGGAAGCCCGGCTCTGGCTGGGGGAGAGGCCTTGGGTCCGGGCCTCCGAGCCCTCAGCCCCAGCCAAGGCCGCCCAGAGCCGCGGGGCGTGCAGCCACGTTGCCTGCGGCCCGCCCTCCCGGCCGGGCGAGCACCAGCGAGCCAGCCGCGGCAGCGCCCTTTCGCGGTCCAGAAGCCCGGTTCCGGGATAAAGGCCGCGGGGGCGGGACTTGGGCTGCGCGGGGCTGCTTCCTCTTCGTGTGGTCGGTCCGGGTGATGAGAGGCCGCGCCGCAGCCAGGGCGGAGCGTCCCATGGCGCGACCTCGCCCGGCCTGAACTGGGGCGGGCACGGAGGAAGCCGTGTCGCGCGGGGAGCCGACAGCCCACACCGGGGGAAGATGGGTCAAGTGGCGGAGGTTCCACCACCGCCCACACGCCCGGGAGAGGGAATTTGAGCGCGCCTGGGGGAGGGGGCGGGGAGAGCGCCCGGCGCTCTGAGAGCATGCTCCGTGCGGAGAGCCTGACATGCGCCGTGAGCCC